TGTTATTATTATTATTTTATTAATAAAATTCTATTGCAGCTTCAAAAGGTATAAAGAGAGTTGGAAGACGACATAATGGAGAAGATGGAGGCAGATGCTAGTTTAAAAAAAATAAATAAATGTGAAAGAGAAAATGCAGAGACCTGGAAAGAGAGAAGAATTAAGAAGAACGACCAAGTGACCGAACTGGAGGAGGAGGTAATGTGTGAGGTGGTGACCATGAAGTTGCAGTCACTTGATGAAGGGTTCAGTCAGTGTGACTCTTCAAGGAATTTCAGTGTTGCAGCATTAAACTCCCAAACAAATAACCGAGATGCCTGATACTGAAATGTTCAAAGAGTCAACTAAAAAAAAAAATAGGCCTGGTCATGGACTGGGGAGGAGGGGCGTTGACCCCCGGAACACCCTTGGGTAGCAAATGAAGGAGCATACAACGTAATCTATCACCTGTGGACACTCGCTCAGACTTTCCTCAGTGCTAAACTGGCTGACAAAATAGCGTGAGAAAGGAGGAGCACTGCAGCAGGCTTACTGGTGCATGTTAGACAGGTCCCATCACACCCTCTCATAAGAATGAAGGAACACTGCAACAGGCCTACTGGTCCATGCTAGGCAGGTCCAACTCACACCCACACCAGAAAATATTGACAGGAATCTACAAGAGAAAATATGATTACGATAAAGTCCCTTGTGAGAAAATTATTATGATGATCATGGGAGGAATACAAAGCTGACTATTACAGTGGCTGGAAGACTTTGTGTTTGACAGGAAAATGCGAACACTGATATGATGCAAGGATGTTCTCACGGGGGTATCATTACTGGCGGGGTGCCACAAGGATCAGTGCTTGCCCCAGTAATATTTATTATTTATATAAATAAGTTTCTAGAAGGAATATAAATCTTTATGAACATTTGTACAGATGATAACAAGATCCGGTGCAAGATAAACACTCGAGCAGCTCATCAAATCTTAAAAAAAAAAACACTTCTACTCACTCTAACATGCGCAACACAAACCAGTCGGATGCTTAAGCCCCTGGCACTCAAAACCTTGACTCCTTCCCTGAACAAGTAGAGTGATGGACGATGGAGCTTAATTTGGATTAATGTCCGGTAATAAAATATAAATTAATCAGTTTCTGAGAGAGAGAGAGAGAGAGAGAGAGAGAGAGAGAGAGAGAGAGAGAGAGAGAGAGAGAGAGAGAGAGAGAGAGAGAGAGAATCAGTGATTAACGAGAGGTTGCCAGGGAACGATCACGGTAATAACATCGTTGAAAGATCTTTTCTCTCCCCGGCCAAGTTTAAGATATTATATATGTAAGGGACGATGCTAAGAACACTGTTTACACTGGCATATTCCCAGTTCTGACGTTACAAACATATGGGCAGACAAGAACATGTTAGAAGATGACCTGGAAAATGGCTCCCAGAGCAGTAGACACACACTCACTGGCTGACATACTCACTGTCTGACACACTGGCTGACACACTGGCTAACATACACTCACTGGCTGACATACTCTCACTGGCTGACATACACTCACTGGCTGACACACTGGACATACACACACTGGTTGACACACCGGCTGACACACTCACTGGCTGACATACACTCACTTACTGATATCCTCAGAAGACACAATAACCACAAATAAGATAATTAAAGAATAAGAAAATATTGATAAGCAAGATTTAAGAACTGTGTGAGGAGGAAGAACAGAGGAACATAGAGGCTCCTAAACGATAACAGAAAAATTCTTCGGTAATATTAAAAAAAAAAATAACTTGGACACAAGAGGTGGTGGCAAGTGCTACGCGATGGGGAATTTAAACACAGAACTACGTAATAGATGGAATACAGAATGCGAGACAATGAGCTCTGCTCCTGCAGCTACAGAAGGCGGGACACAGTGGGCTTTGCTCCTGAGCTACAGAATGCGGGACACAGTGAGCTCTGCTCCTGCAGCTACAGAATGCGGGACACAGTGAGCTCTGCTCCTGCAGCTACAGAAGGCGGGACACAGTGGGCTTTGCTCCTGAGCTACAGAATGCGGGACACAGTGAGCTTTGCTCCTGCAGCTACAGAATGCGGGACACAGTGAGCTTTGCTCCTGCAGCTACAAATACAAAATAGCATGTCTACAAACACTCACTTCTCTGCTGGATACTAAAGTGCCCTACCGTTCAGTCTCTCTTACAGATCTTCCCTCAGATATCCCCTACACCTCTTTCAATTCGCCACTGAATAATATCAACCTTAGTTCAATCAATTTTTGCTATCCTTTCTGCATGACTAAACTACCTCAGTAATCCCCCGTCTGAGTTATATCGTTCATACCTTCCCACACACGACTTACTTATTTATTTACTCTTATTATCAATACACTGTTCAGACACACCTGCACTGCCTCAAACCTCCTCTGCCCCGCCACAACATTCAAGGACCATGCCTCGCCACAACATTCAAGGACCATGCCTCGTCACAACATTCAAGGACCATGCCTCGCCACAACATTCAAGGACCATGCCTCGCCACAACAATCAAGGAAAATGCCTCGCCACAACATACGAACGTGTTATATAAAAAGTTTAGAAAGCCGACAGGCTGAGGGATGTGACACGTGCAACACTTGGGTATCTTTATTTTGGAGACGTTTC